ATACTGTCAATGAAAGTCACTAACATCACCTAAATAAGTGCATCTCTATTATTATGAATGCAGGAAAAAAATATATTTGTTATATTTTTCCAAAGTAGTTACTGTAAAAGGAAAATGAGCATTATATGGGGAAGTATATGTGCTTGTACATAAATGCTGAAAGCCTTCCCTGCCAGCATTGGTGGTAATAATAATCAGAGTTTGTTCTGAGACTTGGCCGGGTAAGACTGAGGCCAAGGAGCTCTGTCAGGATGAGGTATCCCTGCTGTCGTACAAGTGAGTGGGTTGTTTGGTTTGTGAATTAACTGGGCTGCAGTCACTGTCCCACATGGGTGGGTTTGGGTCCAGCAGCAGTATGGCAGGGCTGTATGTGTGCTGACCAACTCCACAGGGTGCTCGCTCGTGGATCTCTGCTCTGTAGTAAACATTACTACTTGATCCTTCTTTTCTTTTAAGATAGTATCTTTCCTTCCTTCTCCACTGTAATTTATTACTGGCTCCTCAGAGTTGACTGTACGCAGAATCTAACAGTCTACCTGTCACCTCCGAAGCCTTCACTGACATAGCACAGTGAATGCGCTTCCGTTTGGAGTCTGTGTGCCTGTCTGCCACCTTGATACCCTCTCTATCTAGTGCGTGTATGGTTTGTGTATAAACAAGAAGCTAAACTGTATGATACGCTTGTGGGCCCACTGTATGCCAGTGAGAATCTGAGGCATTTAAGTGCCTAATAATTTCAGAAGCATTAGTTAAACAAAAGAATTCTCTGAGGAACTTGGGGTATCTGAGGTTGAAGTATAGCTTAGACATTGATAATGAAAAGAAGTCATTAAAAAAATTAAATGGAGTGCTTTATCTGAGCTCCCTTTTCACGACATGAAACAAGCTCTTACTAATAGCAGTTTATTACGTAACTGCATTCCTCATTGGGGTTTTTTTGAAACAGACAGTATTGCCCGATGTAGGAGACAGAACTGTGGCTTTAATTGGGCATCAGTATGGTTACTGTCGTGTATTTCATTTAAAATGGTTTTATTTTGGGAAGCATTTCCCCAGGGACTTCACATAGGTGGTACTTGTAGTTGTTACTAGCGTTTTGAACCATATGAGTATTAATCCTACTCTGATGAAGATTAGAAAACAAGTTACTTAAAATTATAGCGGTCACTGGCATTTGGTCTCCTTTGGGTCTTTTTATTGCTAGCCCAAGCAGAGCTGTTGTCTGTGCACACTTGGCTTTGTTAGGATTTCCTGCTTGCATCTCTTCGGTATTTGTATTCAGTGAGCAGTTGCAAGTGCTTACATTTAAAGAAATACGTTTCAAGATACCATTTAAGATTTTTTCTTAATCTGCATGTTATATTGTACATGAGAAATACAAGGAAATCACTGGAGATTTAAGAGGATGAGAGGTTTGAGTCAATCACTTGAGCTTCAACTTAGTAATGCAAATCTGGCTTTAAGTGACCTTATTGATGTTTGCTCAAAGTAGCTTCCTCTTGGTACAAATGACTGAGCTTTGTTGTTGCTATTGTACAGGTAATGTACTGTCCCTTTAGAGATTGCCTTTGTATCCCCGGTGCAACCTCTCTTTGCTTTAACAGAGAGTGCCTGCAGAAATGCCTGGAGCAAAGATACACCGCATCCGTGTGCCTCATTTGATCATCTGTCAGCAAGGAAGAGAGAGGATAGGGCAGGCAAAAACATGCACCCATTGCTCTATCCCAGCTCTTGCAAATTGAAGGGTCTGGCTACTGGTGAATGATGTTCAAGTAGAGAGCTTGATACCACAGAATGAAGGACGTGACAGCTATCTGAAAGGGTCCTGACCACTTCTGACTTACCCCTTGAAGAGAGGTGGCAAGCTATTCTTGCAAGTTTAGGGTGTGAGGGGGTAGCACGGTTTTGAGCAGTACTAGGAGGGTGGTGCAAAGAGTGCTAAGCACCCATGTCTTGAGGAGATAGCATCGTATAATAAACAGTGCCATCTTCTGGGAGGAGTCAGAATGATGCCCCTGTGGTCAGCATTAAAAATGTTTTTAGTGTTGGTTGTGGGTTATTTGGTTATGGGTTTTTTTGTTTAGGTTGGGTTTTTTTCTCTCCAGTGAATGCTTTGAAAAACCAAATACCGGAAGTTGAAAGACAGTGTTAGTGTCTAGTAATGCACGTCCACATCTGTGAATTATCACTGACACAGTCTTTAAGGAAAAATTTTAAACTATGTTTTGGAGTCTGTTTAAAAGAACAAAAGTTTATCAACTGCTGAGCAGTACTGCAGAGAAGTAAATCTCAAAAATAAAAGTTAAGGACTTGGTCTGCTTTGTATGCTGGTCCATTATTATTTTTGTAAACATACTTTGTAAAACCTAGATAATTGCAACATCTTTTCTCATAGGAAGCATAGTGACCTATAGGAAAATGTTAAAGATCCAAAGTAGGAATGATTACTTTGTCTTTTATTGCTTTTAAGTTGTTATAACTCCTTGTTCTGGGGATGTCAGAAGGGAAAAAATGTTTTCTGTCTTAAAATTATTATCCTATAAATAGTTACATTTGGAAAATATTCACTGTGGTGCAAAATCTGGGATTAGAGTTACTAAAATTATCCTAGCAAGTGGAATGTAAGATTCAGCATTTACTGAGACTCATTAATGGTGTCAGATCAATCACCTGAACTCTTATTTGGAGGAAGTGAGCAATTTTAGTAACATTAATGGAACTATATGGGAGATGCAGCTGACATTGTGAGAAGGTTTTTTTGTTACGCACTTTCAATTAAATAAAAAAATAAAAAAGCAACCCAAGCAAAAAGCCAATAACTAAGTATAACCATTATGGAGGGAGGGGAAAAGAGGAATCAAATGTGTTAAAAATCTTTATTGTTAAAGTAAATTAGTTAAGGTACACCCAAAATTACAAGAATTTGTGAGCTTGTGATAGGCAGATTTGGATTTTTTTTTATCGCATCATGATTGTCTAGGTAGTTTACTAGCAAAGATGCAATGGAATAACAGTTGCTTAAAAAAACCCAAACCAAACATTCTTTTGCATGTAACTTGTAAGTGTATTCTGAGTATGTCATATTAAGCATGTTATAATCAGCACATTTTGTATTCCAGAGAGTCTCATTTTAATGACTGTGGTGTCTGAGTTTTGTGGATAGTACAGTACTTAACTGTACAATTAATTTGTAGTCAAAATGGTAATTGAATGTGCATTTACTTTTTTCAATATTAGTGTTAGCTTGGGCTGTCACACAGTATTTAATATATAAAGAAAATGTCTAACTTTCAGTGTATTCTGAATGTTTAACAACAACATAAATTGTTACTGTGTGTAATCTTTCTGTTTATGCAAGTCCTCAGTATTACAATTAGGACTTTAATTTCTGACATCTGAAAGTAATTTAGTGTTGACCCATCTTACCATGTTGATTTTAAGTTGTTGATAAAACTCAGATGTTAAAGTTTCCGTTGCAAGGGGTGGTGGCCCTTGAACATACCTCACACTAAGTACTACATTTGCTTGGATACAATTTTAAAACTTTTTTTGTCTTGTATTTTAGTAAATTAGTTCTCCGTTGTTTGGGAGTAAAGTATGTATAACAATAATTTGCTTCAAACTTGCCTGAAAAAATATTTCCCTATGCGTTTGGAACACTGCGTGTAGATAATCCTATTAACTCTTAACTAGTTCGAGATGATGTTTCACTGCTGCAAAGTTATTTAGTAGAATTATTTTGGTTATTGGCGGTGATTGCTATTTGTGGCTTTTCATTCTGTTTTTTTTATTCTTTTTGTAATCACTCATGCTCTTGGAAGTCCTAGTTCAAACCACCTGTAAGAGTTCTAGTTTAAGATGGATGAATAGCTATCTCTGAAATCAAACATTAAGATTTTTAGGGTGGATGGCACAGTATGTTACTACCCAGGCTCCCATTAAGTTGGAAAATGCTGTTCCAAGTATCTGGAAAACACTGTGTGAATAGGCAAGATAAGTAAAAATGTAAGAAATGTTTAGCAAAGGAAGAATGCAATGCAGGTGACACTGAAGCTGCTCTCTTTTCCATCTGACTTGAGAATTTCAGCAGTGGCATTCAGCACAAGCAGCGAGGTGGTAACAACGTTAAAGTAGATGCTGACTCTCTCTCTTGGGTTTCCTATATCATAATATTGTTTTCCGGTTGATAGGATGTAGACTAAACAAATGGTAGCATTTCTGGAAAGACAGATCAGAAAATGTCTAGTTTTAAAACTAGAATTGTACTAATTAGAAATATTTTTGTTAGTCACTGAAAAAGTGAGCTTTTTTACTGAATACTGTGTCATATTTATGCAAGCTGCAGGGATACCGCTGGAGTAGATAACTTCAGGGAAGTAATTTATATTGAGGCAAACCCAAGAATAATGTATACTGTGTAAATACTAGTTACAGCCTAATCGGCATACATCTACATGTGCCAGAATTATTAATTCTGCCTTACAGCAGTTGTTGATGTCCTGTTTGGAAAGTTGCTCAAAGTTTGTTGTTTGTTTTTTAGTTTGGCTTCCCCTCCCCAAAGTAGTTGGTATCAGCTACAGTGGAGCAAGTTACAATAAACTGAAGTTGCTTAAAATTTGTGGTGTATGTTCTTCCTCTAGCCCAATACTACAGTTTTTCGAAAGATCCCTTTAGGAGTACATGGAAATGTTTGCTAAAACTTGAGAAAAAAGCCCTTTAAACAGTTGCTATCAAACACAACTTACACTTAACCCTATTTTTATAATTTATGGTATGAGCCTTTTTCAAAACTCTTTAAGATATTTGTCAACACCACTTAGTCATAGACAAATTTTATTTAAATTTAAGGAGAAGTTGACAAAGCTTCCCGGTTTTGTGACTAATGTTAAGCAGGTATTCTTCTTGGTTAAAACTTGGAAGGCATTTTATTCTAGGTCCCTTAGATCTTATGCAGTCGTGAATTAATAAGCCTGACTTTGTTCCTGTCTTTGCACACACAGGCAGAAGGAGAAGACAGCCTTAAAAAGATGCAGCTGATGGAGCTTGCAATTCTGAATGGCACCTACAGAGATGCCAACATCAAATCACGTAAGCATGTCATAAGCTCGAGGGTCAATGCCGTAGTAATGTTTGCAGGTTTTGATTCCTAAAGCTACTGTTTGGCAGATGTACAGTAGCAACTGTGTGGGAGAATGGAAGGCAGTAAAAAACCAACAAAACAGTAGGTAGCCATTGTAAATGATCATCTGGTGATAAGTTATGTCAGTTTTGGGGTTTTTTTGTTTGGGTTTTTTCCCCCTCTTTTTAAATGCTATATCTGGGTTGAAATATTCACAAATATGTAGTTTAAAAAAAAATTCAACCCTTGAGCCATATTTTTCTACTTTACAATCATTTTTTCCTTAACACCTATAAAGGACAATGGACTCCTTTTCAATTTTATTTTAGAGATTTAATTTGAATATGTTACAGATGTTCAGCATACTGTGAATACATTTTTCTGTATTATATTCCTTCCTTTCATCTTGCTTGCATGTGTCCCCCCAATGTTATGTTTTTCCAACAATTCATCAACTGATTTCACAGCTGAGTTCACAGGGATCAGTGATGTAATGAGCCATTTTTATGATTTCTTCCATTACATTTGTGTGAAAAAGCTTTTGCAAACACATGTGTGTACAGGTTGAAAATTAATTACATGTACCTACTAATGAGGTCATATAACTTATTTGTGATACAGATTTTTTTTCTCTAGTTGAAAAGGTCATTTCTCCTCCTGAAAATGTAGTTGGTGATACTGTTCCAAAGTAAACTTTTGCTGTAGCTGTGATACAGATGTCAAATGTAAGCACAGTTAAATCAGTCTTTTCACTAAGGGCCTACTGATATTTGCAAATTTGTTACTCCACACAGTTACCATTTCAATGTTGAATATGTTTAAAGGTTGGAATGCAGTTAGGTCAATTTGAGAGTGCTTACACCAGTGTAATTATGCTGATTTGAAAAGAGACATAAGCAAGGGCTTTTACCACAACAATGGTAGCGGTAAATCTTTCACCCCTCATGAACACTGTAATATTCAAAGCTAGGTCAGTTTAAAATATATTTTAGTCTCTAAATTATTGCAAATTTATGAGCAAAATAGCTTTCAGATTAACTTAAATTGATGCAAACTGTTGCATAGAAAGCTTTATATTAATTTGAGCAATTTCTTTGTCTGATCTATTCCCATTGGCCTATTGTATCAGTGTAAGTGGGAAGATGGATTTTTTTTTCATTTTTTTGACTAAAGATTTCCACACTAATATTCACTTTTTGATAATAAGACAATTTCACTGTTTGTGTTTTGATTTTACTGAAAACTTGAAGGTGTAGAAGCCATCCTGGTTTATTTCTGCTTAAGAAATGACATGAAAATGTTTGAGGAGGTTTTTTTAATTATGCATTGTCTGCGCACTTTTGTTTAAAAAATAAAAATAATTGAAAAACCACAAGTCTCAAATCTGAAAAACCTCCCCCACATTTCTCGTCAGGCCACCTGTAAGTTAATTAAATCCATGTAGATAAACAGTAGTGCATAGAAATCTATAAATTATAACCATTTAAGATTGACTGTTACCAGCTGATGTGTTAGTGTTTAAGAAGTTGTTCATCTTGTGTGCCAACAGGCTTCAAATAACACTTAATGAAATGTGCTAGCTAGCACCGTTTAAAAAAAAAAAAAAGCACCTATTTTCTTTAACTTAATCAAGGCCATAGTGAGCTTCTAATATAAAGAAAGTATTTTATTTTGGGGAATTTGATCTAGAAATCACTTTTGAGTATTTTATTCATGCTAGAGTAGGAGAGGAGATGCATTGTGTTTCTAGGTCATCTTTAACTTCACTGATCCTGGAAACTGGAATTGTGTGTATGTTTAAATACAATTTTAAGATGTATAAAAACTGTAGACTCATACGGCAGCTCTGCATAACTGAGTATCTGTGGACTCTATAGTTGCACTAAATTTTGTACTCTGTATTTGATTATGACAGTATTTTCCTTGTATCTCCTGCATGCATCTCGGTCTCATGCAGTCTTGATAGCATAAATGAAGAAATGTGGTCTAAATGGAGCTTTTGTGCTGTGTAACCTGTTTGAGAAATCTACCTCACTGTTTTACAATGGCTTTTTTATTTTGCATGTTCATACTTAATCACACTGGAAAATGGAAAGCTGTTTGCATTTGAATGGTGTGCTTTGGCACTGTGTGATCAGCGCATGTACTAATGATTTCCTTTTATTTTTCTTCTTTCCTACTTTTCCCCTTTTTTCCCATTCTTTCCACGTTTTGTACTGCTATCTCCATACTTTCCTCTGAATTTCTTTGCTTACTGTAGCAGCCCTTGCCTTTTCTCTTGCAGCAACAGCCCAGGCTCCAAGGATTATTACTGGGCCTGCGCCTGTTCTCCCACCAGCTGCCCTGCGTACTCCTACGCCAGCTGGCCCTACCATAATGCCTTTGATCAGACAAATACAAACCGCTGTCATGCCAAATGGAACTCCTCATCCCACCGCTGCAATAGTTCCACCTGGACCCGAAGCTGGTTTAATTTAAACACAATATGAATATCCCTACACGCTGGCACCAGCTACATCAATCCTTGAGTATCCTATTGAACCTAGTGGTGTATTAGGTAAGATCTTTGTACGCGGATGACTGGAGAATATATTGCTTATGCTTTTGTGGTATTTGCAAGGTAGAGGTCATGAGGCTCAAAGAAAAAAACCTGAAGCAATGGTCGTACCTCAGGTATATCAAAACTGCCTAGGAAAACAGCTCAAATGGTGTAACTCTTAAAGATTTTTAATACGGTTTGCATTACTAAATATGTCTAGTATATTAATGTTTGTGTGACACTAGATGGTGGGTATATAGGCAAGGGGAAAAAAAAAACCACACCAAAACAAAGAGAAGTTGACATCTATTATATGCCATTTGGGCTCCCATAAATACCAGATTTCTTTGTGCTCTCTTCAAGATAAATTAGTTCCCAGTAGTCTTTGGAAGAGTGAACTTCCTGGTTTGCTATACCTTTTTAGTAGCGAGATTGGAGAGAATGAAGAGGTCGTCTTTCAGTTTGTTGGGGTTTTTGCTGCTTTTTTAGTGCACAACTGATAAATCTCTCCATGTCAGAAAGCTGTAAATCATGTTGTAAGCAGAAAATAATTTCAGTGAATGAATATAAAGCAAACTAAGTTCTGACCAAAGGATGTTACAATTAGCAACTTTACTGATGGCTTATTTTACATACATGGGATTGAAATGTCCATCATTCCTAATATTCCAGACCATTGACTTGCTGTGTGAAGGCAAGAATGATAAAGCAGCCGTGGCAATTCAGTTAACTGGTCAATGTGGAACAAGCAGTTCCAATAGTTTCTTCCTTCCCTACCCTCTGCAGAATCTAAATAATCTTTTCTCTTCAGCTTGTTGTGAATTGCATATGACCTTGGTGCTGCATAATGTTGATTTTATAGGACTTTGATCTTAGTTTGTTTAGTGGTAGTTATTGATTTACACAAATTCTAAACATCTCTAATGAACACTGGACAATATGGTTCAAAGTCAATATCTTGTTGAAAGTATTGCAAAAAATCAGTGTTTCACTTATGTGACAAATACTTGTTGAGTTATCTGTATGTGTGCATGTTCCCACGTTATATTTTATACAGTTAAAAAGAAAATGTATTTCAGGCTTCTGCCTTTCAGGATTAGTGAATCAATAATAAAAATTTTCGTAGCACAAAAGTATGCAGTAGGGTCTGTCTTTGAGCCCCTTATGGTTGTTTTCCATTACCCCATAGCCAAAACGCAGTGAGCGTATGCTAATGTCATCATCTATTAATTTCCCACAAACTTGTAAATGTTCTCCCCAGCTCCTCCAGCCCCAGTCTGTGAGTCCACTTGTGATACGTTCTGGGGTGAAGTCACAGTTACATGCATTGTCACAGTAGCTCTCACTTGCTGGTTAGTGGCAAACCCCTCTCCTCAGTTCAGTTAACAGCAAGTAAAGAAACACATCATTCCATAGTAATAATTTAATATGATGCAGAGAACTTTGATTTCTCACAGGATTTTCTATAAAGAGAGAGGAGAGGAAAATTACTCCTAAGATGGCATCTGAAACCATTGCATACTTTTGAGCTTAGCTGTGAGAGCACAGGTGTAATGCCCAAAACAGATCTCACCAAATAATATTATTTAAAAAAAGGAAGGGGGGCGTGAGGGAGAAGACCACACCCCCACTTAGGCAGCATAGAATCAATAACTCTTAATACCTCTGCTCTATTATCTGAGCAAACATATAGAGTTAATTGAATTAAATTAGTTTTTCATTGAGTTTAATTTTGTAATCACTCATTCTCATTAATAGTATGCTATATTTTGTCCATTTTTGTGGTGGACCATTAAGATGTCATAAAATAATTCTGTTAAAAATGGCAGAGAAATGCATCCCCATTAGTATTTTTGGGGATATTGGTGTTGGGATCAAAATTTAGTTGGTGACTAACTTTTAATTCCCTTCCTTTTATCTTCAGGTATGGCTTTCCCAACGAAAGGCTAAGAATTCAAGAACGGTCTTAACTGATCCTTCATCAGATCTGAATTTTAAAAAATGCTTAGTTTCAGCAGCTTTGAAAAAAGCTTGGCCTAGCAGTCAGTGACTTACTTGCACTTTTTTGCACATAGATTTAAAATAAAATAGTGCTATTAATTTGGATTAGCTCCTATTATTACAGAGTAGCTGTAATTTATGAGTGTATAGTAGTATACTGACTGCTAAGTGTTCTATATAGTGTTTGCTTTACTAATCACCTAATTCATTGCAGTTCATACTTATTGACTTAAAGTTTAAAATCACAATCTGTAGGCTTGAAGAATTGCTTTAAAACTTCTTTTTGTGGTAGAACTGGAAGTGATCTTAAGGTTAGCAAATAATTGTCAGTATTAAAAGATGGCATTATTTAAAATAGTCCTGCTGCAAGAAAGGCACTTCAGTGAATATGTGACTAGTAAAGCTTAAATGTGCTTGGGTCTAATAGATTTCATGAAATACTGTAATTTTGGGATTGTAAATGAATGGATTAAACAGGTTAAGGCCAGAATGTTTAAAAATAAATGCAATATTAATCTGCACAGATAAACTTCTTTTTAAGATTAAGATTTGAAGCTACTGTGCCTTAACTTGTTGCTTTTCTTAAAATGAACTTTTGTAGTTAATGATCATTTAAATCCATTTTGATAAACCTGCTGTTAATGTTTTCTTTGAATGTTTTCTAACTTTGTCTTGGTAATTGCAATTTAACTAGGTGCGGTGGCTACTAAAGTTCGAAGGCACGATATGCGTGTCCATCCTTACCAAAGGATTGTGACCGCAGACCGAGGTTAGTTTAGTTCTGCAGTTCTTGTTTGTAAGAAGTGCTTTGAGTGTACATGAGATTTGCAACACCACAGCTGGTTAACCAAATACCATATTTTGACCCATTCATTATTTTTCTTAAAAGTCTGAATAGTTAATAATTTAGAGCTTTGGGAATGCTTGCAGTTCTTAAAACGTTTTGTAAACTTGGCTTTCCCAGCTCGATTAAATATGTAAACTTTGTGATTATTTAATATAAAGGCTATAACTGATTCCCTTTTAAGAACTATTTAAAGCTCCATCTGCGTCAAGAAACACTATGAATTCAGTGCTGCAATAATTAATTTGGTCGTGTCCCGTCGTCATGTCCCCCCTACCCCCTAGTTTGTTCTTTTAATTGGTGTGGAAATATCAGATTGGTGTTGCAAAATAAAATGAATGGATGGTTGCTTAATGAGAAAGAAGTAAAGGAATAAATGCCTCCTGTCTGTGTCTGGAGAAATCTGAAGATTTAGATTCCTTTTTCTCTGATAAACTTTTGAGCCACTGTACTGTATATTATGAGGAGGATGCATGTTCTCAGATACCTGACTGAAGTCAGAAAGGTAAGGGCTGTGAAGATAATACTTCAAAAGTTGTTTGAGTTTGAATTACTAAGGCTGGGGGAAGGGAGGGTGTTTTGGTTTTTTGCCAAAATCTGTTTCTTGGTATTTGCCTTTTGCTGCTAAAACGTGTAACCTGAAGGAGAAGCAACTTTTGAAGTCCTGTTGGTGAGATGACATCCAATATTTGGGCATCTCTCTTTAACTCTTGAATGGAAAGTAAATCTTCATTTTTCTCCTGTTCCTCAAGGGTAATGCCTTTGGACCCCTGAATGAAGTATTTAAGCTTATTGAGAAAAGTGATTTTTTCGGTTTATTGACATTGGCTAGGAAGCAGTGTGTGGGCTGAATTCTTATCCCATCCCTGCTGCTGACTCACTGAGGGTTTCCACAAGTCATTTAATCTCTCTGTGTATGTTTTCCCATCTGTAAAATAAGGATAATAATACTTCCCTACCTCACAGGGGTGTTGTGGGGATTCTTGTTTTGTACAGGGCTTTGAGGATGCAAAGCATTGTGTGCCAAGTATTATTATTCCGCTCTCATCAAAATCAGTGTTGTGCAGGCTTCCATGATATTGTAATATTCAAAAGTCAAATTCAGGTGACAGATCTGACATCTCCTAACATTTGACTACACTTCACTTCTCACAACCTTCCATAAATTAACTACAAGAAACAATACAGATTTCAGTCATAACAGTAAAAAGGGTCCTCCTGGATATTTGCTATGTTTATGTAACACTTTTATCTTTCATATGTAAGGATCTTATGCTTTACGGAAAGTGTAAAGCTGACAACAAGACACTACTTAAGTTTTCTAGAAGATTGCTTCTTCTTGTATATCCCCACACGCTATTTACAGCCCATTGGCTTGTTCTCATTTCTTGAGAACTCTTCAACAGGTGACAGGGTCTAATCAGAATAAGGTCATAGCCCATGTTTACCCAAACAAACAAAAAAAAACAAAACAAAAAAAAAAACAAAAAAAGAAAAATAATTTTAAAAGGAAATAGAAAAAAGATTCAAACCTCTCTGTAAAGAGTAATCAGTGGTAAGGATTTGGTTTTTGAAAGTTTGACCTGATGATGCAAAAATCAGTTTTTGCTAATGGTCTTTCATGATCTGCAGTGGTAGTTTCAGGTGACAAGTGAGACTACCTTTTTGTTTAATAAGATATTTGCCTGAGACAACTTGTAAATAAACTGATAAAGCATGGGGCGAAGGGGGCGGGAGTGAGGTGGTAATGCCAACTTGTACTTTAAGTTCGTCATTGTGCTGTTTACTCAACATAGATTTTAAATATTTTAGAAGGGCCTAGATGTTTCATCTGGGTCACTTACAAGTAGTTGAAGTTAGTAATTGGTATAATTTCACCTTCTTTTAAAATACAGGCGTTTCCTGATAATTCAGTGTTCATACCTAGCCATATTGGAAGCCCACTGTCTTAAGTAAATAAATAAATACACATGGCCTGTCTCCTATGGAATAAGTCATGCATACCTCTCTTTTAGCATGAAAACCATGCTGATGTTTCAGGAGAATGTTATTTTAAAGTTTTAGCTAAATAATCCCAGTGTCTATTAAGAAACTTACACAAAGTTAATTTTACAACTGTACTTTATTGTATTTTGAATTTGAAATCCTAGATTATCACTGTGCAGATTTAGCAGTTTCACAAAAGGTTTTGAAGAGAACTTTTTTCAGCAATAAACCGGTTTCTTTTAATGTGTTAAAATTACATTGTAGAATTAAAATACTGTCAGTATTTACTATATTCACCTATTTGGCTGTTCTGTCACCAGTATAATTCTGTAGCTATAGCCATGAAAAACAATGTCAGCAAACCGAAATCCTTTTTTTCAATGCGGAAACTTTTTTTTATGTAGTTAAATGTCACTAATTCTATATTCACATTCATTGGGTCTGAAGTTGTTTTAAAAATTCTAAATCGACTTTCAGATGACTTTGTAGTACTACTGCATTCACTTTTTTAAGTAGGTTTTTATTCTTTGCGTAGTTGTTTTTGGTTTTGTTTTGGTTTTTTTTTTGAGATAAGCACTGCGTTTAAAGCAAGAATCCCCAAATGTGTAAATGTTTTACAACTAAGCATTTAGGATTGGTGAAGGGTTGAAAAACATAGCTCATTTTAACTCAGAATAAAACCCCAGTTTATAAATAATACAAAATTGAATTTGATGCATATAACAGAGAGACTGACTGATATAATTGTAATAAACTGTAAATGGTGTTGCACAGTTGACAAACCTGTGTGTACTGTAGAAGGCCAGAGACTTGGCAGAGGATGTATCACAGGTGTACTGGTATTTTTAAAAGGTAGCTTGCTTTGATTATAAACTCCACAAGAAATATTAATGCTGAGAATTTTCTTGAATGTTTTATCCAAACCAACTGTCACATAATTTACCTATAAATTTTAATACCATTTAATCAAAATTGTAATCAATATCAAAATGCTTTAAGAGTCTGTTTTTCTAGTATACCTGTAAAGTGGTGAGATTGTGCCACATAAAATATTTATTTTTATTTTTGCTTATTTTTGAAACAGCCGTTTTAATTTAAACAAATCCCACTTAGCATGGTTCTGAAAAAAATCAGGGAGCATGTGGTCTCATTTACGTTACAGTAGTAAGTTTTTTGTAGTGTTATGAACTGTATCCTAAATGATAGGCCATTTTTATTATGTGAAAGTAAATCGGCCCATGAGAAAGATTGCTAAATCAATGCTATCTGTGAATATTACACCTACTGGACTTCATTTTATGTAATGGCACAAATCTGACTTTGCACTGAATACCTTTCTCACTTTCATCTCCTCTGCCTTAGTCAAAATGGCAACAGTACAAAAACTTTATCAACCTCAGAATTTATTAGCTATAATTAAGCTGTTGAATGAGTCTTAAAAAAAAAATAAAAAAAAAAAAAATCATACTACTGTTAAGTGGACCAAGTTTGGTGAAGGAGAATGTGAGAGAATGATTAAAGAAGGAACAGCTCAAGAGCATTGGGAATGATAACTTTCCACTTGAGAACTTTTTTATGTTTTACTGTAATTTGTTTGTGGTTTTGGGTTTTATTTTTTGTTTTGTTTTTGATTTTTTTTCAAAAGAAAATAGTATTTACAGGTGGCTTCTTTTAAAATATAAAAATATAAA